TATATATATATATATATATATATACTTCAAAAAACCTAAGCCCTTATAAAAAATGGAAAGAACCTCCGATTAAGAACAACAACTTAAAAAGACTGAGGTGATGCTCTTAGAGTAGACCTATCTGTTAAAACAATATTGATTAGAAAAACAAAGCCAAAACAAAAAAGCATATATGTTATACGTGTTGAGAAAAGATAGAACAGGAAACATCTGGCGAAAAATAATATTGCATACACACTAACTAAATAATCCAGAAAGAATTAATTGCAAAACTCTTAACTTATTAGAAGCGGTTTGGAATTATTTATTGACTAAAACCTGTTAGTCGCAGAAATTTGGACGTCTCTTTTCCGTTGTTATCGCAGTAAACCACCGAAACCAAAGACTGTATGTGCACAACTATAAAAAAATGCACAGCAACAATCATTCACTAAATCCTTCCCTCCTGCTTATTGCTCACTTTGAAATTACGAAAAATTCATTTTATTATTTTTCCAATTCATATACTTTTTGTCCTAGAAACTAAACGCTCCGGAATATTCACCTATTGAAAACAGCAATCGAAAGATTTTAAAAATATAAATATGAAAAACAGAATTCCTATTTCGATACTTACCGAGTGCTAACTTCCCACTTAGTAATACAAACTAAGCAACAACCGTAAATTCTAAATAGTTTTTACAATTTTGTGACAAAAAATACTGTATGCCATATATACACTAGAAAAATGCTGCCATATTGTTTATATAACAGAGTTTAAAGTTAACGCCTGACAGCACAAAAACCAACGAAAATGACAGAACATACAAAAAACTGCCTGCAAAAAAAGTCACGTCTCAAACTAATAAACAAAGTAGTACACAAAGTCAGAACTACCAAATCAAAAAAACTCGGCAAAAGAGAACTGGGAAAGAGGAGAAGAATAGTAAACCCTCTTCACCAAAATAGTCAAGAAAAGGTCCTACACGAAAAATTCATCAACATGGCAAAAAACAAAGCCTAGTGTTGAATTTTTCAATTGAACTATGAACATAAGTAGCAAAAATTAATTCATTCTATCCTAATGCCGATTCCATTAAGTGCCCCAGAATTAATGCCCCTGTGTGTATTGAACAGGTTCAGTAAAAACACAACTAAACGTGTTCCTGAAAAGAAATACTGCTGAACAAACATAATCGAAAAAACCATATAAAGAAACCTTTTTCTTCTACCATTTTTTGATATATATTAAATGATTGGTAAAGTGGAATTTTGCGCCGTCAAATAGTACATTACACAACAGCTGCCGATGATGCAATATTTGCGACAAAAATTATTATATAAACTACTCCCTGTCTCAATGTTCAACGTTGCACATCAGAAGCTCGAAAAAAAAAAAATTGGCAGTTTTATCTGAAATGCGATCACGGCATGGATTTTTTTTTTTTTGCACCGATTACTAGGAAGCAACAGAAATGAAGAATACACAGATATTTCTACGCGTAACCAGAACATAAATTTTTAACTGTCTATTCTCCAAACTGCAAAAATTCGAAGTGTTAGATCTGAAGTTGGACCACTTTTGAAAGATATATGCACTCAAATAACATAAAATATACGGACCTAAACTGAGTAAACATGACAACTAAACTTCGGAAAGGAAAAAGGAAAAAAAAATGGAGACGTAACTGTCACCCCTCTCCCTCCGAAAAACTGGTATGAAATAACTACATCCTGTTGAAGATTTAAAAAGCATTTTTTTGTCCCTACAAACGAAAAGGCATTTTGTCTGATTTAAGTCAGCGTGACACGTAAAAAAAATAAATTGAATTTACCATTCCTTCTCGTTAGCTGTGTAACATTGAGCTGAAATTTGTTCCCAAATTTGTACTCGTTGAGTTTCACGTTCACAGCAGCACATGTATAGGCCATATCAGTCTTAACATCATTAGGGCTTACAGAATGAAAAAATATTGTTCCCTGAAATTTAAATAAGTCGATTTAAATCCAAAGACTTACCAAAACTGGAAGAAGGAATAAAAATTGCCACAGCAGCAACAATGGATTCAGGAGAGACATAACAGACGTTGAACTACTCATCCTCTATGAGCAGTTTCGCCAGAAATTTCAGTAAGAGATACTAAGAACTGTAGCTGTATTTAAAAACAGCAAAGACGCCGAACCAGTATCCACTAAATTAGATTACGAAAAATGAAGAATTTTCGAGATGCACTGGCTAGCTTGTTCTCAATAAAAAACAATCCGCAGTACAATTTCCGTAAACTGATTCAAAAAGAATTCGTTCTTTATTTTCCGGCTTCACTTGCGTGCTGTTGTTTCTTTCATGCAATTAAATAATCTACCAAGCACGAAAAAATGGCCTGCAATAAAAACTTCTGCGACAGATAAGATTTAGCTTAGTAAGAGAGTATCATCTACAGAACAGAATTAAACAAATTCATCAATAAATACTGCCGGAATTTTCCTGAATAAATTCAGATGTAAATAATTCCTTGTAGAAATTTTAGTCGAATCTACTGTTCTTATTCAGCTTATGAATAACTGCACTATTTTTTTATTAGGGTAGAAGTTGAATACCCTCCGAACGATTTAATTGAGGCCGAAGTCAAAGCCAGCGGAGTCTCGCTCAGAACGCTGCATCCAAATAACAAACGTTCTCTGACAACAGCACAAAACAACCATTGATTCTCCAAACCCTCTCTATTTCTCTTTTTACTGCTGCTGAGCTGCCGAGCCTGCCGCTGTTGGGTGTTCTACCCCCTCGTATGTGTCACACACATGCAATAAACGCCGCAGAGAAGATAAGACGAAAATAGGCCTGCTGAGTATACTCTTCAAAACACGCTCGCTTTCGATCGCCTAACCACTACCACCCGCCCCTCCGGGATATCAGATGGACAGCTCAGTTGGAACGAGGATACTCCCGAATATATACTCGGCTAAGCAACCAACTATCCCCCGGCGCCACCAAATAAATGACAGACAAACAGAGAGAGACATATCCTTCACTCTACTTTCTTTTCTGCAATTTTTGAAATGCGAAAGCAAAAATTTCAAGTAAACACAGAATATGTACCTCACTGTCTAGGCACTAAAAAATCACGCAAACTCGGATGTAAAGAATGAGTAAAGTAATCCTCAATGTAAATCCTCCTGATCACTTAATTAATTTTAGTAAATGTTGAAAAATGCAAAAAATTCCTTCAATTTTTTTCTCTGGTCCAAGTAACTGCTTATTAATAGCTCCGATGAGACATCAACGACAATACTTAAGTTAGGGAAAACAATTATTTTAGAAATCCCGAGAATCTTTGCAAACTAAGGATAGTAAATACGGCCCCAATGATCAAAATGTCTAACTTTCAGTTTTCTCGCAGTAAGTCTTTACGCAAATAATGCTTACTAAACGATATTAAAACAAACAATGGTTCCTCTTTTTAAGCCCTCATCACTACTTAAAGTTTATCAGATCTCAACCAAAGATCTCTATCAACTTCAATGATTCAGGGCAAGAGAACAAACATGACATCATAATTTGCTAGAACTTCAGTTCCCCGACAAAACGTCTTCGACAACGATAGAAAACGAGCGAAACGTTTTAACGAAGGTTACCACTTCTTGCTGATTCAGTAAATTCACTACAAGAGCCCAAGTAGGCAGAGGACAGTTATTTACGCCAAAAAAAACGGCACATTGATTTTTTCTTCATCAGTGCCTCCCATATGCACCTCACTACTCCAAATAAATAAAACTTTCCCGGTGTTTTGATTAAAAATTTGTCTGAAGTTTCATCCAAAAGTCGGGAAGCTTGAAATTCATCCTCACACGCAATTACTACGTAACCCCCCCCCCCCTTCTTGGTACTACCATCAAAGGCTTAGAGTTTTCCGCAAACTGCATAAAAAAACGCCAAAACTCCCATCCCTATTTCTCCCCCAAATGTTTTTAACATAAAAAAATCAAACGGAATACTATTCTGCAAAACAGTCGTAAAATCAGTGCGTCAACAAAGGTCGGAACTGCCAACAACTTGAACCCTTTACAAAAAGAGTAGAAAGGATCTGGAAAATAGAGCAGTGCAGAAGACGACAGTTCAAGGTCAGATAAGTTGCTCCAGAAGAAAAGAATTCATCAAATGCAAAAACCACAAAATGTCTAAATAGAAAAAAATTATTACAAATTACAGCGGCAAACAGAACTGACCTCATCATTTGAAGAAATAAATGGACTTCTGATAGAATCAAACCTACTTCCCTCTCCCTGAAAACCAGGAAACATTTAAATAAAGGCTTAAAAAATCATGACACAATATCAATTAGTCTTTTTTGCCAGATTATGGTAAACACCAACCAATCATTAGTTGCAACCCGTGTAACCTCTAACAAAATTAAGGACAAAAGTCGGAGACTTGCAACTTCATTCATTAGGTCAGATTAGGGCAATTAACGTTTGAATATTCGCTATGTCAATCAACCAGAAACTAGTACCATTAACGTCCAACCAACTTTGGACTTTGGATTAGAATTTGGAGCAGTGCAGTTGAATGAAAATGGTTCGCCTTCTTCCACAGCAATCGTAGTAATCTTGAGACTGTTTGGGAAAAACAGTATATCTAAACCAATAAAGTATAACACCGTTGTTCATTTTTTAAAAAGAGCTTGCTTTAGTAAAAGGAACTTTGTGAGATATGAGACAAAGATAAATGTTTGAAAAACAGTATGTATACAAAGACAAAAATTTAGTCGCTTTAGGAAGGGATGAAAAGACGCGAAGTAAAATTTATAGCTTCTATATTTTTCTTAAGCGTTAACTGACAAATCGGAACTAACAAGCTAATTGGAGCGAGACAGTTTCGGAAACTGCTGTCCCATTGTCGTTCGACGCTTTACATACATAATCTCCCTCATCTTCCTTCGAAACCTTCGTAAAAGATATTGTTCCTTCACCCTCGTGACGCTTAATCCTTTCGTCAAACGCTTCAAGGTCCAATAGTGTACCATTCTTATACCACTTGTACCTGCAGAACCCCAAACATCAGAGAAATTTGCAGCAAAAGTCCTTACTACCAATGCGCATTACCCTCCTTTCCCATCAGTCAAGATGGTAGCCATAAAAAAGCTGCAGACTGTTGCACAACTTCACTCAAAAGATGAAGCTTTAAAAAAACCCCCAACAAAAGAACATAGTATGCAAACAACAAGAAAGTCACCTACAAATATACGTTAATTTCTTGAAGAGTAACCCAGTTATCTAACATCCATAACAAAGCTTCCAAAAACACACAAACATCACTCGTCAAAAACCTCAGTAAAACTGCCCAGAACAGCAATCCAAATGGTTTATAATCCATTGAAAACGTACAACTAATGACAGGTCGAACCAGTTTTTGTAGTAACATTTGGACACTATTTCCCGATCAGTAACAACCACAACTGGAAAATAGAATAACCTCGAGCAGTTTCAAGCAAACATTCTGCACTATAAAATACCTCCTGATTTTATCCCTCAACCACAAGTGGTATTACTAGATCTAGTCACTTAACGTTAAAAGTCTGCTAAACCTTTCTACTTCTGAAGAAATCTTGAAATAAAATAGGATGCAGCTAGATAATAGAGAGAAACTGAAAAAATATGAGATCTACTGCTCAATAAAGCATTTTATTTGATAACACGCAAAGCAATTTATTATCATTCACAATTTTGAAATTCTACAAAAACTGCATGTCGAAACCACCTCCACACTCATATAATTTACACCTAAAAATGCTCTCAACTAAAATTTTCACAAAAACTGTTTTTTAGGAGGAAAAGATGAAGATGAGCTTAGAAACTTAAGTAGATGACAGTTACCAAAAAGAACCTCTAGCTTTTTACAGACTATGATAACCTAATCAATTTAACTTTGCAATCAATGTTTCAAAAAGTGAGTCAGCTAAATAAGCAGGACACAACGACACATTTCTCGGAAAGCAAAAATTAAATTTTCTAAAAAAAAGAATATAAGGAAAATTCTTGGTCCTCCGCAAGCTTTGTAGAATAGAGCCGTTAAGAAGCAAAAACCACAGTTGCTCAGTGCCACCATCAACTAATCACACAAGACTATTGCAAGATACGACGCATGAACCCATCCAGGCTGGATACGCTGCTGCATAACAGTTTAATAGAATATGTCAAGTAGGGAGCAAACTGGCACAAAAAAAACGGTCAAAACAGGCTTCCGCTTCACCACTACGAACTCCAACAGCCAGTTTTTCAGACCAATGCTCAGGGTGAAAATGAACAAAAAAAAGAGATTCCTTCCAAATCAAGATTTAATGAAAGAGATTGTCGCGAATTTCACAGAGTCGAGCTCCTGAAACTTGTAGACCCCGCTCTTTCGACACAGATAACAAAGTATGACTACCAAAGCATCTTTACCGAATAAAATAAGATCAGATTTTGATGAACTTCTTAAGTGAACTCAGTCTAGTCATTCAAATCTTACCCAAAAATTAAAAAAACCTTCACGATCTAGATTCAAATTTCACTTAGAAAAAGTAAAAAAAAACTTTCCAGCACAACTAGTTACACCGCGCACTCTTATTTCAAAATAAATCATCACAGCAACGACTCAAACGATTTCGAAAAAAACCAAACTATACAAAGCAGCAAAAACAGAACTCTATTACCTGCTATTCAAAGAAAGTACAACTTGTTAACAGGAAAAAAACACTTTTACTTACTGCGGAGCAGGAATCGCCTCTGCTTTACACCTCAAGGTTGGGATTTTCAAGTCGATAGCAGATGTATCAGACGGCTGAGTAGAATCATTTTCAAGGATAAAATATACAACTGGATCATTCTGTTCATGTACAAAGCGGGGAGGGAATGGAGCTTTTGAAAAGTCGATCCTGGCGTAACTGCCTAAACAATTATCACTGAAGCTAATATTTAAAGATGCCTCGTTAATGCAGCTCTCAGCATCATAAATGGAGCGCAACTAGTAGGCGCCAAAGGCGTTATAGAATAAACTTATGGACCCAAAGCAATTAAAATATAAAACTCTGTGAAAGAAAGCACATGATCGACCACAGAAAGCAACTGAAAAATTAGAGAAAACTATAAATCAAAAACTGGTAGCACAATCATACAATAATTAAGTATAAACGAACACCGCTTCTGCGGATACCTATATCCAACATTTACACCAATTCCTTTTTTCATTCTTAATTAGCCACGAGAATAAAAAAGAACAAACCTAATGGTATTATCGAAAATACTGATATGGCCGCCAAGCTGAAAGCGACAGCCATCACGGCCTGAAGAAAGAAAAAAGTTATTTGAAAAATATAAATCAATTTTAAATGCTACAAAAAAATTTCCAAATTCAAATGAATCTGTACAAATTCAAACCAAATTTAAACATTAAGATCTGAGCATTGAGAAAGTAACGAGTAAAAGAAAAAACAACAGAAACTTAAAACAATATAAGGCCAATTACCGCTTAAACTTCCGTAATTGTCGGATACAGAAATTATAGGCTAGCACAGGGTAACTTTTCGATGGGTCTCGTGCAGAGCTGGACAAGGATGCCGGATAACGGCAGCTAAAGAAAAAAGTTTCCTCTTTTACGGAAGAACGGGTAGAAATAATCTAAAAAAAAGATAAAAGTTGATTCGTAACACTCATTGAAACGATCAAATCGTCAACGTATAAAACCTTATCAACGACCAGAACAGCCTGCATTCTAATAACCGTGATAACGTCGAATAAGTCAGTAGGAAAACAACAGACAAGCTATTCGCCAAACAGTTAACTGAAACTGACGCACCACTGAACCTATACAAAACGGAACGATCAAACACTGTTACAAGTAAACCAACCCAATAACCGTTACTCGTTACAGAACTGCTTCAGGCCCTACCGCCAAAACCAACAACTTCTACAGTATTGAACAAGATGATGAAAAGAAAACCACTGTTGCGCCTCAGGCTAACCGGCAACCGTCAATAAATCCGTAGCAATACTCTTTTCCCCGTTGAGTGACTTTCCCCTTTTTTTTGGTCTGACCTCTGGTTTCGTAACTCCTGTCACTTGTAGATGGTGGTATGCCCAACAGTATGACGAGAAATGTTTT